ATTGTTCAACGATCGATGGAAAACGGAGAGGGGAGGGGGGAGCGGTAAAGTATTCCGATGGGACTATTTGGTCACGAGGACGAAAAAAGTCAGACCGTGGAAATGGCTCATTTTTTCGCGTCCAGTGCGACAGACGAAATAGAAAAGTGCAACACACTAGACAAGACAATATCGATCGAATGCACCACACGTTGATTATTGCGCTATTGTTCCTCCTGTTCTGATTAACAGACACCTACTGTGAGGTTATTTCTGTTGAATGGAAAGCAATCCATACCGATAAACCTTTGCGAAACAAATCACAAACATCCATTCGCTAGCGCAATTCATCACGATTAAGCCATATTGTTGAGTGCTTCTGTACAGGTGGCGTTGATTAACACTTGGTTCCTTTTTCATTTCACATGAGTCCCCTTAGACTCCCTCCCTGACTGGGAACCTCGGAATGATGGTACCCGTTGTGGTTAGAGACACTGAATGACATGGTTGAGAGTTGTAAACAATGGGAACTCAATTTCTTCGCAACCTTAGTCTACTGAAATCCCGCATTTTCTCTTCTATCCTACTTTCAACTTTCCTGTCTTTCATTCAAATAGGCAGCTAAAAGACAGCAACCAAAACCGGTGCACGGAAGTGTGCATGGTTGTGTAAACTGGAAAAAAAACTGAACTGATTCACACACATAGTACAAACACGTAATGATTGCAGTTCCCAGGGGCGGGGTGTTTTGTTAGGGTTCAAGGGAGGTAACAGACTGTTTTATCGCGGTACTAGTCCCGACAGAGACACACACATACACAATTATGCAATGTGGCTCTTCATCATTTGTTCCAAAGAATACTATTATCAAATAGACATTTAAATTCTTTCATGAATATTTTGCGAGCTACATTTGGCACTTTTGTAAAATATCTGAGGTTTTCATTCGATTACATCCATATTGCTTATGCCAAACAGCAATGCTTGATTTTCTATTTGATCACTGAGCTATTTGTCTCATCACCAACTGAGGTGACCTGCTCAGTGCTTCTGGTATGGACGGTGGTTCTGTATCTCCGTGTGTGTGTGTGTGTGTGTATGTGTACTGATATTCGATCGTTCTGTAGATGAGCCTCATCATCCTCTACCATTTAGCACGCTTGTTCCTAAACTCGCTTTTTGTCGTCTCCTCTTTCGTCTGTTGTCTGTTTTCCGAAGTCTATCCTGAAAATTGGTTTGGTTCTTCTCCCTCACCGGGCGTCATTCACTGTGTCTCGGGAAAACCTTGCCACAGGCTACTAGCCAACAACATATGAAGTCCAGCAAAGTCCAGCACCTTCTTTGCCCCGAATTTCTCTTGTTTATGAGACTGACGCAAACAGACTTACAAACAAAAATGATGAAATTGAAAGGAATTTGGTCAAGTGTATTGTGCACTTGGGATGTGAATACCTTGTGTGAGCTGTGAGCACTTCAGAGTTCTTGGTTGAATGTAAACCAAAACAGAACCAGTTCCATATTACCTTGGATCAAACGTTTGATTCTGGACGGTATTGGCTGAAACCCAGATCTTTTTGAAGTAGCAAACTGCCTGTGAGTCCTAAATGTAACAGGTGAGACACCAAGCCTAATGACAGCAAAACTCCATCCCACCCAGGTTGGTTACGGAGTTCGAACCACGTACATTATAATCAAAAATTGACCAGTTATGGGACAGGGAACCACTGCGCAGCATCTGCGCAGACACACACACACTCACACATGCAGGTTCCCACTTTTGCACTGATGTTTACTCGGTGAATGTGTTTCAGTAATTAACGAAATACCACTATTTTTTCTGTTGTGACACTCAAGGTCGTGCGGATTCAAGCGTTGGTACCAAGAGAAAGAACTAAGGTCGTTGAAATTGGAGAGGAAGTTCGAAATAAATACTCCTCAGCCATAGATAACAACAAACACGTAGGATACTGGAAACTGACATGCATTTTCACATTGAGAGTCATTTCGCACGAAGGCGATCAATGCCTGTATACTGACGGTCACGTGAAATCTCCCTCCCATTACTGGTATCCTTCTCATCCTTGTTTCTATCATAAATATGACCCGAAAAATCTATGATCCTTCGGTTCTTGTGTTGCGTTACCTCCAGAAATTTCTTTATTATCGTAACTCGATTGATTGAATGATTAATTGATTGACTGATTTATGAAATAAGACGTACATCGTTCCTTTGAAGTGATAAACACTTGTATGCTGGGAAATCCCCTCTTATGCAATATGAATTTCACACCGGTTATTGATCAACGCGTGGACGAACGAATGTTGTAAACCCTAACTCTTATTTCAGTTAGGATTTTTAAAACTTTGCGGATTGAAAGAATCAACTCTAAATGCATTTTGACATCTCGGGCACCGGATTCAGTACTGCGTATATCCTGTGTGTTTTCTCACGCCAGTGCAAGCGAAAAGTTTAACCAGTTCACTTTAATCCCACTAGGCGTAGGGATACAAGTATCGATCGATCGTATGAACAACGAACAGGATTAACCTCTTAGTCACGAGGATACAACCACATAAGGCAGCCCAAAATGGGATAACAACCAGTGGTTGATAGAGCAATCTATCTGTCCACCACTAAAATTCAGTAATGGAGCCGGCTTTCGAGCTTGGGTTACGGTACGTGCTACTAGGATTGAAACAAACATCTTACTGCTTTCATATAAATACGCGTACTTCTGAGTTGCCGTGGATAAAGAAAGAAGGAAAAGTGTTTTCTTGGGGTCAGTTGTTGCACTTTCGATGAGACAGGACAGCTCCGTATTCATTACCAAACAATCACGACAGTTAGGATCCAAGTATGAGAAACGGCCAACGG